TCAGTTTATTTTTTACTAAAGTCCAAGATCTGCTCTGGAATCTCAGCAAATGCTGAGTCACTTTCTTTTTGCTTATTTTATTAAAAAAAAACCTATTTAATCAAACTCCTCTGCTTTTGGGTCCTTTATACAGACATCCCTGACAATTTTTATCTTCTGCAAGATATGGATAAAATATGGTAATTTCAACAGTTTAATAACATATGATATTTCTGGAAATCACCAAACAACCCTCTTCCCCTCATTAGCTACGCTTCTATCCACCTATTTTTATGTGCATTTTGGTTATGTGCATCAATTTTGAAAATGTGCACAATAAACTTATGCGCAAAACTGAGAAGGATAAATGTTTTATCCGATAAGAAAAATGTGCATAAACTATGATAAAAATACTTTTACCACACAAATTCCAGTATGCGCATTAAAAAGATCATGTCATTTTGTTATAAGAAATCATGTGATGATAAAAATGTGTGCAAATGGATAAACGAGCAGGCTGAGCACATCGCAAAATATCTCAAATGTTGTTTTGGTCATTCTAAAACGCCTTAACTGTTTCAATATAAGTGTTATTATATTAATAATGACCTCCACAATTAGGAGCGATATTCCAGTTTTGTGCATAAAGTTAATTCGCGGTTTTGGATGGAAACATCTTGTGACCCCCATTTGAGAACCACTGACTTAGTTAATGATTAAATATTCAGCATATATAGTAACACGCTAAGGAAAACTCATATGCTGTAATATTTAATTTTGACGCATTGCAGTATACTTAAAGCTATATTTATATAAAAACACATGTTGTTTGCAATCCTACGCAGTTAACAGTTAGATCAAGAAAAATATACTCTTCAAAAATAAAGATTATTGTCATTGATGGTTTTCACAACTAAACCCTTAAAAACATACACAGACTTTCCCACAGCACAAAAGCGCTTTCATGGTGTATTAAAATAATAAAAAAGATTCACTGGATTTACTAAATTCTTTTAAGTGGTTGCAAACGATTTATATGGGCTGAATTTAAACAAGCAAATTAAGTTAAACATTACATTTCATTTGTTTGTTTAAATTCAGCCAATAGAAATTATTTGCAATCACTTACTTTAAAAAATATTGTAAATCTAATGAATCTTTTTTCACTGTAGATCATTATAATGTAAACTGAAAGTGCTAAAGAGAATGGTTTATTTATTTTTTTCTTTTTGTCTTTAATGCTATCAATAAGAAAACCCACATAGGGAAACCTAAATTTGTAAGAATTTATTAAACTAAGTGACTTAAATACATTTATCATTCTATAAAGAACATTGCTGAAGTAAATAGAGAAAATGTGTTGTTCTGTGCTCCAACAGATGAGGGCAGCAAAATCACATGAGTTCTGTCTCATTCATACATACACTGTAAAAAATGCTGAGTTCCACACAATTGATGTGTTGAGACAACATGAAGAAATTAAGGTAACTTCTTTGTTTTTACAAATATAAATGAATTGAACCTAAAACAATTAAGTTGTCCCCAAAAAAACCTCAAGAATAGTGTTGATTCAGCTCATTTTAAATATGTAATTTGAACAATGAGTGAACGTCAATTTTTGAGTGCGAGTATTTCTTTGATGTTTCCTCATAACAACTAATACTGTATGTATCAACATTTCTGTCTTTTTTCACTTGGTCCATGTCATTTGCTAAACTATATGCACTAGATCAGGGGTGTCCAAACTCGTTCCTGGAGGGCCCTGGTCCTGCATAGTTTAGCTCCAACTTCCTTCAACACACCTGCCTGGATGTTTTTTAGTAAACAGCTTGATTAGCTGGTTCAGTTGTGCTTAATTAGTGTTAGAAATATGCAGGACACCAGCCCTCCAGGACCGAGATTGGACACCCCTGCACTAGATATACACTGTAAAAAATGCAGGGTTTCACACAATTTATTCATGTTGACCCAACACTTTTAACAAATGTATGTGGATTGAACATAAAAAAATCAACTTGTCCCAATGAAATCTCAAGAATCGTGTTGTTTCAGCTTATTTTAAATAAGTAGCTTGAACGAGCAAAAAAAAATATTTTTTTAAGTGTAGATCAGTTCCTAATGCAGTTCCAGGTTAAAGATAATAGACTCGCAATAGTATAGAAAACACTTCCTGCCATTTTAAAGCACACAGAGCATGTTCCATGATTACTGTAACCACACCCACATTAACGAACAGCAGAGCTTACATAAGTCTCAGGGCAATCATTCACCCATTAAACTGCTCTGATCTTTGTATTTATTTTATAATGCTACATTCAGCATAATCTATTAGTTATCACATTCTAATAACTCAATCACAATATAATCAATCATCTCTAAAATAAAACTTCAAAGCACACTCAGAAGAGATGGATGAAAGACAACTGTTACTCATGATACTTTTCACAGTTTCAGGTAATACATTTAATTCACAACTAATTCACATTAGATCATAATATATATATTTATAATTCTTCTTACATTACAGGCACTGATAGAATTGGACCAGAAGGAGAAACTAATATACTCCAAGAAGAAGGACAGTCTGTGACACTGAGCTGCACATATGAAACAAACAGCAACACCATTTATCTTTACTGGTACAGACAGTATCCAAAGACAAAACCTGAATTTATACTGTATAAAGGTGCTCGATCATGGAGCAGTGAGGATATTCCAGATAGTTATGAATCAGCTACATCACATACATCCACTAAACTCATTATTAAGAGTGTATCTCTGTCAGATTCAGCTCTCTATTATTGTGCCCTATTAGTTAGAGCCCAGTGATACAAAATGCCTGAGACGCTTTACAAAAACTCATACAAAATGAATGCTTTGAAGAGTCTTTAATTAGTCAGTATCAAAACACATCAAGCTTTTATAAACCACAAACACAAAATGTGGCAACAGCTGTGAATTTGAAAAAGAAAAAGGTTACATGAAGGTGCGTGCTGCATTTATGCATCTCTTTTATGCTTCTCACTTCTCATGTTATCTGTAAAACTGTTTTTTTTATATATAATTATGTTTTTTTTTTATATTTATTTGCATTTATTTCAAATGAAAGCAGTAAGGTCTCTTTAAATACTACATATAGTAGTCACGAGAGAAATGTTAATATAATATTGGAACAAAATTAAAAAACAAATTGATTAAAAGCTGACTTTTAAATACAATTTTGAAATCCCGATTCTGTTTTTAACCCCTACCCCTTGTAACAGAGTGTGAAGGGGAAGGGCTTCAAATTTACCCCTAAGAAATGGGACAGCACTGCAACACACACACACACACACACACAATTACATGTCATTGTGAGCTTAGAGATTGACGATGGTGACTGCTGTAGTTATTCCAGTTACATTATTTTTTAGTATATATCTTCAGGAAATCCCTAAAGGCAATGACATCATGTTATATGTTATCATAAGGATGTAATATGGCAATAAGCTTGTAACTGTACAGTGTATTTAGAGTTTGGCCATATTAATCTATGTAAGCACAAGTAAAGAGGATTAATGGTTTAACAAACATCGTAAAAGGTAATTCCCAGGTATTTGAGTGTCAGATGTGGAAGTATGTTGTGGGACTACTAAACAGGAGTTGTTATTATTATTCATTATAGATAGCAAAATTTAGCAAGTTTTTTTGTAAGCCCTATGCCTTAAAGGGCACCTAGGTTAACCATTTTTTCTAATTTAATTGAAGTCTTTTGCGTCTCAAGAATGTGTAAGTTTCAGCTCAAAACATCTATCAGATTTATCATTATACCTTTACCTAGATCCTGTCTTATACATCTTTCCACCAGGGGTTTGTTTAGTCGTACTGCGTCTTTAAGGCAAGTCCTCACTGCCTACTGTTTCTACGTGCCTTAAATCTCCTCCCTCGACTGCATCAGACAACAGACAGACTTAAAGGAAGAAGGTCTCCCACAGCGTTTGTGAGAAATACTACAGTAAGTACTTTACCCATGAGTATTTGTTGTGTAGTTGCATTGATGAATGACACGCAATATCGTTACAAAGTTCACGCGCACACACACACACACACACCGCAGGGGAGACGGAGACGGAGACAGAGACACACACACAGACACACCGCGCTTAGCTTAGCACTGTTTTTGCACGCAAATGTGTCAGGATACAGGCTAATCTCCACTGCTGTATGGATATCTGTTATGTTAGTGTACAAAATAAACCTGAATTATCGTCCACAAACCAGGATTAAAGCGTCTTCTTTCATAATTGTTCTGACACGCGGCTGTGCTGATGAAGTAAAGCTGAAGTAGCTTGCTGTACTTCATTACACACGTGCACTGTTTTAAAACATTTTAAACATGTGAAACTTACTCTTGATCACATTTGATGACTATTGATGATCCTAGCCAACTGAACAGACCTTTTATTCCCACTTGCTTTGCGCACGTCTGGTCTTGTTGACAAATATACACGTCACTACCGGGACATGCTACGCTAAGCTATCCATCAATTCGGTGGGCAGGGGGACCGCAGTCCTACATAAAGTTGCGGTCGGTCTGAAAACCGCACCAAATTGGTCCACCGTTTTTATGTTGTTAAATTGAAAAAAAAGGACTGGGTGTGTTTATATCACCCCAATATGATGGTCTATACACTATATATACACACGTCTGTCCAAACAGCTTGAAAAGTAGACTTTTGACCATACAGTAGGTGCCCTTTAAAGCTAATGAGAATTAGGACACCCCCTGAATGTGAACATGCAAAACAAGGGCTAGGGGTAAGAGAAAGGCTAAGGTGTGAAATTGGGATTGGGACAAAGTTTTCTTATTGTAGGTGCCTTGTAATTCAGAATCATGTCATGATGACAGGAGGAGGAGCTTAACGTTATACAATACAGCCGAGTAAATATGAACACCACACACACACACACACACACACACACACATGCAACAAAGTGTAAAGCAGCTGCTTTGTTTTTAACTTGCAAAAAATTAAGTGAACATGTTGATCTGCATCATCATACTTCTGTCATCAATTGAAGGTATATAACTGTAAAGTTTAAAATTTTTTAAAACAATTAAAGTGTTTAAAAACTGTCACTTTTTATTTTTGCAGGTTCCAGAGCTTTAGAAGCCATCGATCCAAAAACTGACAGAGAGTTTGCTGTTGAAGGTGACAATGTGACTCTCTCTTGTAACTACAGTGGATCTGTTCGTGGCGTTCACTGGTATCGACAGTACGCAGCTTCGCCACCACAATTCCTCATACTAGAAGATTCAGGAGTAACAACTCCAGCAAATCCACCAGTTCCTGGAATCTCCATCAATCACAGAAAAGCAGAAAAACATGTGGATCTGCTGCTCTCCTCTGCTGCAGTATCAGACTCTGCTGTGTATTACTGTGCTCTGAGGCCCACAGTGACAGGAAACACTGAGACACTGTACAAAAACATCTCATAAACAGTACAATAAGCCTTAAAAAGTATACAAACCAAAGCTAAAACTCAACATAAATTTGCAAAAATACATACACTGAAAAAAAGATTTCGGCAAAATTGTTGCTATGGGTTGGAATTTAAACAAATTAAATGTAGTAATTCATTAACTCATTTATTTTCTTTTTGGCTTAAAACCCTTTATCAATTCGGGGTAACCACAGCGGAATGAACCGTCAACTTATTTAGCACGGTTTTTACACAGCGGATGCCCTTCCAGCCGCAATCTATCTCTGGGAAACATCCACACACACTCATTCACTACAGACAATTTAGCTTACCTAATTCACCTCTACCGCATGTCTTTGGACTGTTGGGGAAATTGAAGCACCCGGAGGAAACCCACGTGAACGCAGGGAGAACATGCAAACTCCACACAGAAACGCCAACTGACCCAGCCGAGGCTCGAACCTAAATGTAGTAATGTGCAACTTATATTGTTTAAATTCAGCCCAAATAAATAGTCTACAACCACTTAACAAAAAAAAAAAGATGTAGTAAATCAAATGAATCGTCTTTGAATGATTTTTTCAATATTTGATTTGTTCAATAGTAAACTTGTCAACAAATAAGGCGGCTTGTACAGGCAATATTGCTAAAGTGATCTGAATTACCAGTACACAGCTACAATTATTAAAATATACTGAAACAGTCAGATTTCAACCATCACTACTGTACTGAAATATAGCTCATTTACAATACAATTTAAAAACAACTGTAAGAAAAAATATTTTATATTTTATGTGCAAAGTTTAACACATTTATTGTGTTAAAGTAGCATGCTATGGGGAAAAAACACTCAAAAGTATTGTACTGTATATCAGTTACTGATTATACAGATTAACAAATTACTGGTTATGCACATTTATAGTACATTATGTAATGTACAGTAGTAATACAATTAATAGAAATTGATCACCATAAACACGGAACTGAGGACTGTATCTTTAAGAGGAGGTGCTTCAAACAAGGTATCCTCTGATGTACACTGAATGAATGTTTACATCAGTTACGATTTTTCTGTGATTCAGATGAAATTGAACAGAGTACTGAACTGAAAAAAAAATATGCTACTTGTTTTGACTTTGTTCAGCTGTTTTGTGTGTAAGTCCCCTTTTAAAACCTTAATTTTTCTTATCGGAATCTCTTTGTTAGCTGAACTATATGTCAAATGTTGATCTGCAGGTGTCAGTTTTGGGAATGTCATCACATCGGTTGAAACCCGTCTGATTCATACAGAAGGAGACGTTATAAGTGTCTCCTGCAGCTACTCCTCAGCAAGAACTTTATTCTGGTATTTCCAAAATCCTGGATCGGTTCCTCAATTTCTTTTCATCATTCTCCATTCCAATGGAGAAGTTTTACAAAAATCTGAAGCTGTGAAAGATCCTCGATTCTCTGCAAAAGTGAATGAAAAGAAAACCCATGTGTTTCTGGAGATCTCCTCTGCTAAAGTCACAGATTCAGCAATTTACTACTGTGCCTTGGAGCCCACAGTGACAGGAAAACAAACAGCACTGTACAGAAACCCTCACTCACTGTATTTTGAAAAAGAGGCAAAGCATACACAAAACTTTCAACAATATTTCAGCATACAATAAAGAAAAACACCATCACAGCTGACCAAAAGAGATTAAAGATTAAAGTAAAATATAATCAAATTAATTTCACACTTTTTAAACAATGAAATTGTGTTCAAGCCAAGATAATTCTCAATTCTGTCTGCCATGTAAAATCTAAATGACCTTTAAATAATAATAATAAATATCTTAATAATAATAATAATAATTATTATTATTATTATATCATCTGAAACGTGTGTGAGGGTATCCTACATTAATTTTAAATCATCCTAACAGAATAAAACAGAATCGAACATTAGAATACAACAGAACAGAATAAAAGAGTTAAAGTTTTAGTATTGTAAGGATTGTAAAAAAAAAAAAAAGTATTATATAAAGTAATGTGTGTATTTTTAATCATGCAACTGTCTGTCTACAGTATATACTGCATATATTGTCTATATTTAGGACCACTTGAATATTTAGAACACACTTTGAAAAGTCTTGTCATCATTTGCACGAGATGAGGGCTGAATGCTGTAAATCTGAGTGGGAGGAGTTTAACACTGGCATCATGAGATTCAAGAAGACTGTCAACATTTCACAAGTGTGTTTAGATCATCTGAGTGTCTCCTGTTCAAACCTGCCATCATGTTGATCTCTTTCATTATTATACTCCTATCATCAGCTCAAGGTAGGCTATAGCTCCAGATGCATTCTTTAAAAGATGGATGTAAACCTTGGAACAAATGTGCTTTTTATAAAATGTATAATTAGGTACAGTGCACTTGAAATAACTAAAAATTTCATTTACATTTACATTTTTCATGATGTAAATCTAGATTCCAGTGCTACAGAAGCCATCACACCATACAGGGCTTATGAATTTGCTTTTAAGGATGACAGAGTGATCCTCTCCTGTAACTACACTGGTTCTGCTCGAGGTCTGCACTGGTATCGACAGTATCCAGGTTTACCACCCCATTTCCTCATACTGGATTACTATGGGGCAGTTACTCATGCAAAACCTCCGATTGCTGGAATCTCCATCAAACACAGAAAAGACGACAGCAGTGTGGATCTGGAGATCTCCTCTGCTGCAGTATCAGACTCTGCTCTTTACTACTGCGCACTGGAGACCACAGTGACAGGAAAAGCATCTACACTGTACAAAAACGAGCTTAAATATGACTGTGCAAGACAAACGCTTTATATACAGTAAACATCACACAGTGGACATATATATGAGCTTCTTACATTACTACTGTAAATCTGTAATCTGTTATACTGTAAAAATATAAATGTCAAACAATAGACAAAAGGCATTAAACAGATTATCACTTAGATAAGGGCATAAAACAAGAGTCATATGCACCTAAACATTGATATGTACTTAAATATTGTTACACTGACTCTAAACATGCGCAATGGCAAAAAAGGAAACAAACATATTCATAATTTATGATGACACATTTTTTAAAGCACACTTTTAAAATAAATGGACAAACCCATCTGCAGTTATGAGCTCCACCACAAGGGGGCAACAATCACTTATGTTGTTTTTTTCACCAGACCTCAATCCTCTGTGCTCACATGAAAACACTATTCACTAATTTATTTGAAAGCATAGACTGCATATTTTATTTTACTAAGCCACGCCCACATCATTTGAATAAAACAGAATTTGATTCAGTCTGAAATTTTTTTTTTATTCCCTCATCAGCTGCTCACGTTTTATACAAGACATTCTACTTAATTATATTAAATCAAAGAAGAAAACCGAATAAATCAATACAATAAATCTCAATCTGATGCTTTAAATTAAACTTTGGTAAAGATGAAAACACGGCAGATGCTACTCATGATGCTCACAGTTTTAGGTAAATATATACTGATATTCAATATTGATTACTTCTATAAATTACCTCATTACTCTGACAGCAATAATTGAACAAGATAACCATATTGCACTGTTGAATTCCAAAATAGGTGGATATACTGATAGGATTGGACCAGGGGAAGGAGACACAAATATAATCAGTATGGAAGGAGAGTCTGTGACACTGAGCTGCACATATGAAACAAACAGTAATGACATCTGGCTTTATTGGTACAGACAGTTTTCTAACAGAGAACCAGAATATATACTGTTTAAAGGTGCTCGATCAAGGAGCGAGGAGGATTTACCTGACGGTTTTCAGTCAAGGACATCAGACTCAACCACTGAAATCACTATTAACAGTGTGCGTCTGTCAGATTCAGCTCTCTATTACTGCGCTCTTGAAGTAGCCCAGTGATACAAAATCCCTGAGGCGCTTTACAAAAACTCACAAGAAAATAATGCTTTGAAGAGACTTTAATGAAATCGCTATCAAACCACATCATATCTCTATAAACCACAAACATGATATGTGGCAACAGCTGTGAAATTGCAAAGTTAAAAGGAGTTACATACAGTAAGGGCAGGTGAATCTAAGAGTTATGATACAGTATTATTGTTATTAAAAATGATATTAATATATTACATTGTGCTATCCTGATGAATGAAATTAGTTACAAAGTAATTAGTTTATTAATCAGTGTAAATTAAATTTTCATTGGAAAAATTTAAGAAATTGCTTTTAATTTTTATTAGGTCATTTAATTATAGTTACTTAAAACATACTTGAGGCGACGCAGTGGCGCAGTAGGTAGTGCTGTCGCCTCACAGCAAGAAGGTCGCTGGATGTTTCCCACAGATGGGTTGCAGCTGGAACGGCATGCACTGTGTAAAAAACGTACTGGATAAGTTGGCGGTTCATTCCTCTGTGGCGACCTCGGATTATTAAAGGGACTAAGCTGACAAGAAAATGAATGAATGAATGAATAAAACAAACTTGCCAAAAATACTGTGCATAAATTTGACAGTTCTATATAAATCATTTCAGAGAAGCAAATTAATTGTAAATATATGTAGTTTTTGTCATACAAATATATTTGCAGAATAATAGATTTGTCAAACAAATGAGCATGCTTAAGAAACAATGAATTGAGTAGCAAATTAATGTCAGTTTATTGTTTGTATGAAAGATGGTGTTACTATTACTTTTGAAATGTTTTGTGTTTAGATATATACAGGACATTTCTTAAGTGTTAATTATTTTAAATAAATCTAAAAGGCCATCAAAATAGTTTCATTTTCATTCTGTAGGTTTTGAGAGTTGTACACATTTATTATTTGGAGTCAAGAAGTCAATTACTTATTAAACAATGAAGAATCTAACTAAGGATCTGTTAATCCTTGTAGCAAACTTATGTGCGTGTTGTTTCAATAAAACAACCATTCATTTGTGTTGTATTTTATTTTCATTTGTTTAATTTATTCTTTATTTTACTTAATCATATGATCATTAGTCATTTATATAATCATCATTATAACATTTTATTGATCATTAGTTAATAATTTAATTATTATTTATCATTTATTATGTTTTTAGATTCTACTATTAATATTCTCATATAATTATTGCTTTAAAATTACTTCATTTTTCTATATTGTTATAACCTTATGACTGTGCAGATTCACAGCTGCTGCGCTCGTGCATCCAGGTTAATCATGAACAACTCAGTGCGCATGCGCTAGTCGCACTATCGCGGTCTGATTATGTTTCAATTAAGTTTTATATGCATCAAATACATAACATCTGTGCCAAACATTTCAACTGATGAACATATATTAACAATAATACAACTGTATAGCTGAATTACATGTACACATTGGCATGTTACAGCCCTAATGGAGTAGGATTATGTGAAACTCCATATAGATACATATTGCAATGATTTCGGGTACTTACTTAGCGATGCACACACACACATATATGCACAGTCCTTAAATGCTCTGCTGATTTTGACTCTATAATACTTGTTTTATAACTTTAAACTATCAACAACCACCACTGAGCTTTATTCTAGCTATCGATCTTCCCGGTCCGTGGTGGATTTTGGCATAGTCTATTTCACATGAGATGGCGGGGGTGAGTGGAAGAAAGCAAGTCGCGGGGGGAATATTTTCTACAGAAATAATTTATTATTTCTTATATGGCCAAAGTAACAAAGTAATTAGATAGTAGTTAAAACTATGTTAATCATGTAAATACTGTATGGTAATCAGTAATACATTACAATTTACAGGTACTGTAACTTACCCAACACTGCCTGTAGCTTTAATACAAGAGTGTAGTACTAGGAAGGTTGTGGGTTTGATTCTCATAGAAAGCATGAAGAACTGATCAAATATGTATCTTAAGTGCAGTGCATTTATTTAATTAAATGAATCTGCCAAATGCAAAACGCAAATCTATAAATATATGTCATTCAATATTCTGATCTGAAATAAACTAAGGTCTTGCAAATACTCATAAAAACAAAGTACACTCACCGGCCACTTTATTAGGTACATTCTACTAATATCGGGTTGGATTCCCTTTTACTTTCAGAACTGCCTCAGATTTAATAATGTACTGGAAATGGCCCTCTGAGATTTTGGTTCATATTGAAATGATAGCATTATGCAGTAATGCACATCCATAATGCGAATCTCCCATTCCACCACATCCGAAAGGTGCTCTATTGGATTGAGAGATCAGGGGCCTCATGTACGAAGGCTTGCGTGGAAATCATACTAAAACATTGCGTACGCACAAAGCTGTAAATGTGCGTACGCAGAAATAATTCAGATGTATGAAACACTGCGTACGCCGAATATCACACATATTCTTTTGCACATCCGAATGAACGTGAAACTGAGCACAACATGCACGAGCACAAAACCCCTCCCTGCCTCCTCCCCCGTATGAATATGCTAATGACTATACTTTGGCAAAACCCAACGAAAAAGCAAAGGCAAAAGCAAGCAAAAAGAGAAACTTTGAACAGAATGTGAATTGGAGGTGCTGCTTTCGGAGGTAGACCGGAGAAAAGCGGTGTTATTTGCAAGTTTGTTCTCCGGAATTAACAACAAAAGAAAAAAATATAGTGGGAGAGATTAGCTGATGTGGTTAACACAGTTGGGTCTGAACATCGCACCGAGTGAATAAAAAAGAAATAGTGTGATTTATAGGTGTAAAATGTTGCTGCATCTCTATCAGTCTCAGTGGCGCAGTTCGTAAGACACAGAATATCCTATTTTGACACGTTCGAGCATGAACTCGGTTCGAATCCAGCGTCTAATGAATTAATCTAATAATTATCACGAGAAAGACAAGTAGGAATCATTAATAAGTTTGTGCATCATATTTTATTTGCACATTTATTGAATGGAAATGTTTTGATTCACGCATGCAAATTCATCTTCAGATAGCGTCTTAATAGCAATGCGTGTGCAGTAGATCGCTCAGATTACATTGGGAAAACAGGAAACCGCTGCAAATGGTGCTTTAATGTTTAGCTGGTCAACTGTATGGTATGGAAACCTTATATACCTGCTAGATGAATCCGTCTCATACAGCTGCCATTGCAAGGCTCAGACACTTTGTAGAGAGGAATTTAACACAACTGCCTCTAGGAGTCGCCAATGGAAATAAAACAGACACGCACAAAAAATGTGCGTACGCCAGCCATAAAGCTGCCGTGAAGCTGCGCACATTCCCACGTTCAGTTCATCGTTAGTAAATCCAAACGCGAGCGATTCTGAGCGTAAAACCTGGCGTACGCAAAGTTTTTGTGCGTACGCAGCGTTGATACATGAGGCCACTGGTGACTGTGGAGGCCATTTGAGTACAGTGAACTCATTGTCAAGTTCAAGAAACAAGTCTGAAATGATTCGCGCTTTATGACATGCCGCATTATCATGCTGGAAGTAACCATCAGAAGATGGGCACTCTGTGGTCATAAAGGGATGGACATGGTCAGCAACAATACTCAGATAGGCTGTGGCATTGACACAATGCTCAATTGGTACTAATGGCCCAGAGTGTGCCAAGGAAATATCCCCCACACCATTACACCACCACCACTATTAGCCTGAACAGTTGATACAAGGCAGGATGGATCCATGCTTTTATGTTGTTGATGCCAAATTCTGACCCTACCATCTGAATGTTGCAGCAGAAATCGAGACTCATCAGACCAGGCCATATTTCTCCAATCTACTATTGTCCAATTTTGGTGAGCCTGTGTGACTTGTAGCCTTAGTTTCCTGTTCTTATCTGTCAGGAGTGGCACCCGGTGTGGTCTTCTGCT